CACCAGCCTTCTGGTGAGCAGTCAAGTGCCTTAGGCACTATGCTACCAGAGCTCCCTTAAAGGGATTAATGAATGTAAATAAAAAACATTCTACCCCAGAACTTATTCTTGCATCCGTTTCCTGGGATAAGTCCAAATTCTAATCAGATAAATAAACATGTACTAAGAATTTGGCTTATCTGGCCTCCTTGCTTCTTGCCTGCCATCTTCCTGCAATCCATCCTATAGCTTGCAACGACAGTAATATTAAATAAAGATAAGTCTGTGATCCTTTCCCCAAACCTCTGCTTTCTCACCATTATCTACAGAAATAGTCAAAGCACCTCAGCTTTGCATTCAAGGCTTTGGCCTCAATCTCCCTTTTCAAACCTCTGTTAGCTTATTTAATAAGCACTGGGCTAGTTGCTGAAGGAAGGTGCTCTGGTGGCGTAGCGCCTAAAGCATTTGACTGCTAACCAGAGGTTGGTGGTTCAAGCCCACCAGCCACTCCACGGAAGGAAGACTGGGCTATCTACTTCCATAAAGATTTACAGCCTTGGAAACCCAAAGGGGGTCATTATGAGTCACAATAGACTCGATGGCAGTGAGTTTGGTTTGGAGTTGCTGAAGGAGTTTACGCACTACTTGTGGAGAGGTACACAGACTAACTTTATTGGAACCCCCAACTCTATTATAGTCTCTATGGACATGAATAATTCCAGACAAAGAATTATTTTAAAAAAATGAAAAATTAAAAAAACTAATGTTTTTGTCTTCTGCAGGGTCACAAGTTCAGCCTAGAACTCAATGTCCAATGTGTTGGCCACAGCCACATTTCAAGTGCTCAGTAGGAACATGCCTCTAGTGGCTATCATATTGGACAGTGTAGCATAGCCTATTTCCATCATCTATGAATGGGTAAGGAGCTCTGGTAGCATAGTGCCTAAGGCACTTGACTGCTAACTTCTAGAAGGCTGGCAGTTCAAACCCACCAGCCACTTCTCGGAAGAAAGATGCAGCAATCTACTTCGGTAGTGATACCACCTCAGAAACCCAAGGGGGGGGGGGGTCACTATGAGTCGAATCTGACTCCATGGCTTTGAGTTTGGTTTGGTTTATGAATGGGTAGGGAACTCTGGTGGCCTAGTGCCTAAGGCATTTGACTGCTAACCAGAAGGCTGGTGGTTCAAATCTACCAGCCACTCCTCGGAAGGAAGATGGGCCAATCTACTTCCGTAGTGATATTGCCTCGGAAACCCAAGGAGGGGTCTCTATGAGTCGAAATCGACTCAATGGCAGTGAATTTGGTTTGGTTTATGAATGGTTAGGGGAGGTCACCTATAGGTGCTTCAAAGAGAGCAAGAACCACTTCCTATACATGCACCTTGTGGTGCTGGCTACCAGTCCCCAAATCTCATTCTTCTACCCACCCACCCCCAGTCACACATCTTGGCTCTGATGCATTTTGAAGGTAGTGTTAGTACAGGCCCTCAGAGCTCCCAACAAAGATGTGTGGACATCCTTAGCAAACTATTAAGTGATACAGAAATGTGCTATAATAAATAAGTTCAGGTCTTGCTTCCATCACAGCTTTGGTTACTTCAAGCAAATTCTCTCTCTTTTCTCCACCTTCAAAAATCCCACCCCTATTATTTATGACAAAGGATTCTGAAAAGTATGTTACACACAGGTAAAAAAAAAAAAGTTCCTAGGGCTAAAAATCCAGGTTATACATACCTTGATGCTTTCACAAGTCATTCAAGACCCTACTTCACTACCTGCCTTCTCCTCTTGGTCACTTTCCATAAAAAGGAAGGACACAGAGAATTAAGATTTCCAAAACAACAAACCATTTATTCTGAGATTTGAGAATTATGAGAAGTAATGGGAACTGGATCTTCATCGAGATCTTCTGGAAAATCGGAAGCACCACTCTCTCCTGCAGCTCGATTCTTCTCCAGTTTGGCTATCAATTCTTTCGCTGGATTGAAGACACCATTGGTCTGCTGGTCACAGACATAGCAGCGTGGGGTGGAGCGGAAATGCTGCAGTGCACAGCTCTCGCAGAAATAATGCCTGCACTTGGTGACAACTGGGTTTTGGAAGGTCTGGCGACAGATGAAACACTTGAATGGTATTTCCTCATCATCGCTTCCCACTTCATAGTTTTCATCTTCATAGACACCATAGCGACCCTCATCAAGCTCACGTTCAATCTGCCACCCATGCTTGTAATCTGAACGGTCATGGAGGAACTTGCAGCTGTCTCCGAAGCCGCAGAAGCCAGTCTCTTTGTAGTCTTTACAGATATCAGGCTGGTAATCCCAGCGCACCGTGGCACGTAGATGCTCGGGAGCTCGGATCGGGCCCTTCCGGACCATCCCGGAGGAGGCATTGCCCATAGACGTATCCTTGGGCTTCATGAATTTCTGGTAATTGTTGATTCCCCGATAGATCTTGTCATCTTCCTTGCCCCTCAGCTCCTCCTGGATCTTTTGGCTGCGCTCAAAGATGGCTTGTGCGTCACGCTCTTTCTCAGTGTCTAGCTCGTAGACAGCGGTCGCACCCATATCCTCAGGCCCCACGGGTTTCGCTGAGCGGGTGGACTTATAGACCACACCGAGACTCTCAGTCTCATTCTCCTCCTCGCTACTCAAGTTGCCATAAGCCGCCTTTTGTTTACCGCTGCTACGCGTCTTCTGTATCATCGGATTATGGATCGTCCTCTTTTTTTCCGGGCGAACCACAGTGCTGCCTTCCTCATTACTGCTGCTGCTATCTCCGGGCTCTCGGTTGCAGACAGGGCGCTTTCTGCGGCCTGCAGTACCTTTTCGTCCAGACTTTTTGAAAAGGAAAGTGCACACCTGGTCTGCCGGAGAAAGTCGCTCTGCCATTTTGGAGTACTGAGCGCCAAAACGCCTCTGGAGTGCACGGCAGCGCGGGCCCCGCAACGTCACTGCACGACACGCGCTCTGCAGGGCGTCGCAGCCAAAGAGGCTGCTGAAAACACTGCTAGAGCACTAGAACGCTAGGGGCGTGATCGCGAATACACTTGAGCCCTACCGGACCCCGTCCCTTCCTCCAGAGAAGTACGTGACGTAACCTCGTTGGTGGAGTGCCGCGGAGCTTACCCGGAAGTGAGCCGAGGCCGGGTCACCTTTAAGTGGCGTAGAAAAAGGTGGTGTTGCGATGTGGTTTGAGATTCTCCCCGGAGTCGCCATCATGGCGGCGTGTTTGCTCATTCCCGGAGTGGCCACCGCGCACATCCAAAGGTTCTCTAACGGGGGCAAGGTAAGGCGGATTCCCCAGCCTCGGGGCTGATCCTGCTCACTGGCGTTCCGAAGTGGACAGTGGGTTAGGGAGGCCCTTCGAATCCAGTGCTTCTTTCCTCTCCGAGGTGGAGAATACCAAGGGCGGTCCTCCTCTTTTTTCAGTGTTGCCCCAAATCAGAGGCTTGTGCAATGCAGTCTGACAGAAACCGCATCCTACTCAGGCAAGAAACAGCTAGTTGCTGTTCGGAGAGGGGCAAAAGGCAGAGTAGGGATTGTTGTTGTTGTTGTGTGCCGTGGAGTCGTTTCCGACTCATAGCGACCCCTCCTTGAGTTTCCAAGGCAGTATCTCTACGGAAATAGATTGCCCAACCTTCCTTCCGAGGACTGGCTGGTGGGTTTGAACCGCCAGCCTTCTGGTTAGCTGTGCCTTAGGCACTATGCTACCAGAGCTCCCAATACTATGGAAGTAGATTGCCCAATTAGGAAATGAGAAAAGGTGGGTCTAAACCGCTAGGCAAGGAAGAGAGGCCTCGGTTAGCCTTTGTCCCCACTCCCTCCCACTTCTAATCTCTATACTTTCTTGTTCGATTTTATTTTAATTTCTCGCTTTCACGTTTCTTTGTCCTTAATTAGGTTTTTCCTTTGACACCTTTAATTCCCTACTTTCTGTTGCAAGCTTTTAGGAATTTACCCCAAGATCCTATTTCTCTCATCAGGTTTTAATTTTTTCCCTCTTCTTAGCACTTCACATTATCTGTACAATATAGTAAGAGTACACAGTTACTTGCTTTCTGGTTTTTTATTGTCCTTCATATGTTATTCACCATTATTGCTTCTGCTCTTTGGAATCCTAAAAGGCAACAAGTAAACTATTCACTTTAAAAAAAAAAAGGAAAGAAAGACAGTGATGCTGGTTAAAACAGAAAGATGTGAGAAACTACGTTTACCATCTTAATTCTAAAGTTTAAGGGTCTGATTTTTGTTTAGGAGACTCTGGTCTGGATAATTTGGTTTATATTTTCTGGAATGTTACTTTTTAGAAGTTCTAATGTTCATATATAGGTCGGTAATCTTTATAGAGTACAATAAATAATTTTTTTTTATTTGTAGGAGAAAAGGGTTGCCCATTTTGCGTATCAGTGGAGCTTGATGGAAAGAGATAGGCGTGTCTCTGGGGTGAATCGTTACTATGTATCAAAGGTAGGCCTTGACCATAGCCTTGTGTCAGGGTGGGTTTTTGGAATGCTTTGCCCAAGGTCATAAACTGGTAGGAAACTGATGGAGCTGACGTTTGGACCTTAACCTCTATATTATATCACCTATCCAGTTGGTAGTTTTTTCATGACCTCCCTTGTCAAAATAAAAAATTGGCAATGCTGTTGTCAGTTCTGAAATTGTTTCTGGAGGTTTTACTGGCGTATGTAATCCAGGAGACTGAGAAAAATTGATTTAGAAAGTGGTTTGTCACTACTTTTCAAAAAGATTTGCAAATGAGTTTTAATGACTTCTTTCCTGTATTTTTTAAAAATGAAAAGGAGCTCTGGTGACACAGTGCCTAAGGCATTTGACTGCTAACCAGAAGGTTGGTGGTTCAAACCCACCAGCCACTCTGAGGAAGGAAGATGGGACAGTCTACTTCCATAAAGATGTACCCGCCTTGGAAACCCAACAGGGGTTGCTCTGAGTCATAATCGACTCCATGGCAGTGAGTTTGGTTTGTCTTTTTTCGTCTTCTGTATAAATGGGTACATTTTTAAACATTGTAAATCCTATAATCCCCAAAGTTTGATTTAAAAAATATAACCCAAAGGACAGTGGTATATATTAGTGAAAGGTAAAAGAGGATAGATTAAGAGGATTCATTTGTGTACCCAAGTGGGAAATACGCAAGGTGTAGAGTTGCACAAGCGTGTGTTGAATCTCTGCCGTACTTAGGTGTTTTTAGTCTCTTTAATCCTGTTTCCTCATTTGCGCAACAGATTGTTAGAGACTACCTGATAGGTTTTTTTGATATGACAGTATTTGATAGAAGTTCAATCAGGTTATTTCCTTCCCTTTTTGTTAATTTCTGTCTTCTTGTTGTTGTTAAGGCCTATTTGGCTCAGGGGCATTGGAAATTATGAACTTGAAATCAATGATACCTAGATAATGTGTTGTAGGTTGGTTCGATCTGCCAGCCTCCTGGTTAGCAGTCAAATGCCTTAGGCGCTATGCCACCAGCGCTTCCCCTTAAAATCTGTACATAGTCTGAAATCCCTCGAAAGAGTACATTTACTATTAGTTTACTGTTAGCAGTTGAGAGCATTTTCTTTCCATTTGAATAATCCATTTAGAGTACAAAACTGCTGGTATCCCAAAATCTAACCATAGTATATTTTATGGAAATACAAAAGTGTGATTAAAAACCATGATCTGGAGAAAATGCAGATTAATATCTGGGCAAATGTTTTTCACACTAGATCAAAGGATATGTGCATCAAAACCAAACCAAAAGAGTTGCAATAGGCTTAAGATTTAAGTGTTTGCTCTAAGATACAAGTAAAAGAAATAAGCTCTAAAATACCATGGAGAATAAAAAAGATGCAGTGCTGTTAAAGAAGGGTGAAGGTTTTGACTTGATGGTCAAATCTCTCTAATTTTACTTTAGTTGAGCCTAATGCTGGTTCTTGACATTTTGTATACCAATAAAAACTAATTGATGGCACCTTCTAAAGCACAGTGGAAGAAGGACTTTATCCTATAACATTATAGACTATATAGACTGTAGCTGATCATAAGGAGAAATGATGTTGTTGTTTTAATCCCTGATGGAAATTGTGCACGACAGGTACTTGTTGGTGACTTAAATCATGAGCCGAGTATAATCAAGCACTTATCTAGATATTTTTTGTCAACTGATATAAGAGCTTAGATTTGTTTAGTGCCCTACTATGTACAGAGTGCTTTATCCAAATTCATTTAACTTCTTTTTTAAAGTTATGTAATTTATGAATCATTGTGTAAAAATTTTGAGAATACAAATGATAAAAAAGCAAAGGCCCTTTTTCTCCTCCATCCTAACGTGCATAGACACTCATGAAATCCTATTCCTTTCTCCTTGGGTAACCATTGTTTTCAGCTTGTTATATATATATCCTCCTGGACTTTTTTGCTGTGTATTTCTGTTACGTGTACATATAAAAAAACATGCATGCATATTGCGTATACATATAAAAACTAAAAACCCCACTGCCATCAAGTCAATTCCAACTTATAGTGACCCGCATAGGGTTTCCAAGGAGCTCTTGTGGCATGGTCCCTAAGGTATTTGACTGCTAACCAGAAAGTTGGCAGTTCAAACCCATCAGCCACTCGGTGGAAGGAAGACTGGGCAATTTACTTCCATAAAGATTTACCGCTGTGGAAACCCAGTGGGGGTTGCTATGAGTCAGAATCGATCGACTCAATGGCAGTGAGTTTGGTTTGGTTTTGGTATAGGGTTTCCAAGGCGGTAAATCTTTATGGAAGTGGATTGCCTCATTTTCCTCCCATGAGCAGCTGCTGGGTTTGAACCACCAACCTCCTGGTTAGCAGCCCAATGGTTTACCCATTGTGAATTGCATTCCATAGGGTTTTCAATGACTGATTTTGGAAGCAGATCACCAGTACGTTCATCCAGGGTGCCTATGGGTAGGCTCGAACCTCCAACCTTTTAGTTCACAGTCCAGCTCAATAACAGTTTGCGCCACCCAGAGACTGAGCAAACACTAGTGCTGACTGAATTTCCATCTTCTTGTCTGCTAGTGAAGTTGAGCAGCTTTTCATATATTTAACAGTTGTGTTTGTATTTCTTATTCTGTGGATTGCTTGCCCATATCCTTCCTTTGTTCATTTTTGTCTTTTTCTTTATGATTTGTAGGAGTTCTTTATATATTTGGGATAATAATCTTTTGTTTGTTTTACATGGGGCTAATACTTCTCCCAGTCTGCCGCTTGTCTTTTTTACTTCATGATGTTTTTCATCATATAGTAGTGTTTAACTTTGATGTTCCATTTACCAAGTTTTATCATTCTGGATTCTGGGTTTCCACCTAAGATTATAAAAGAATATTCTTATAATTTCTCCAAATACTGATAAAAGTTCTTTTCCCCCCATTTAGTTCTTTGATCCATCTATAGTTAATTTTGGGGTATAATGTGTAATATAAAGTGAAGATTTAACTTTTTTTTTATGCAAGAGGTAGCCAGTTGTCACGATTATGTATAGACCAGTCCATTCTTTGTTTGACATGCTATCCCAGTAACTAAATTTTCACATATACATGTATACATAGACAGGTGTGCTTGTCTCTATACTCCATTGATTTATGGATTCCTGTACTGATGCCACCTTTAAAGAATCTCTAATTCCAAATTCAGTTGGATCATACGAAATTTGCTGTTTTTGTAGGCCAGAAATGGTCAAGAAGCATTTTCATATGGCTTAACCTAATAGTAGTAGTACTTCCTCCTCATTGTTCTTTTAAAATTTTTTATTTACTTTTTAATATTTTTTCACTGCTCATTAATTCTTCACATTGAACCTGAAGTAAATAATGTTTTCATTTTATAGATGAGAAAACAGAGGGTAAGAGCCATTAAATACCATTATAAAGGCTCAACCTAGGTGATCTGCCTCTCAGTAGAGTGCTGATACCTGAGATTTCTGGTCTAATAAATGTGATCCTAAATACCCACTCCATTTTCTCATTGATGGTCCAAGAACCACTTCCATCAGAATTACCTGGCCTATTTGATAAAATGCAGATTCCTGGGCACCTAGCTAGACCAAATGAATTAGGATTTATTAGAGGCAGATTCTAGGAATATGTGATTCTAACTTTTCTCTAGGTGATTCTCCCTGCAATAGTAAACAAAATACATAGACTCTTACTTTAGCACCTGAAAGAAATATTGCCATTGATGAATCTTTTACAGTTTTTTAAGTACGTGGTTGTGACTGAGTAAGATACAATGGGATACACCTAACTCCTCACTTACTGACTAACCCCTTATCTGACATTTTGCATTCATGGCCATAGAAAATCTGTGCAACTGTGTTACACATCAATGACATACGTCTGGCAGTAACGAACACCGAGGTGCAAGGCAAGAGTAATGCTGGCTGTGATGGTTAAGGTTATGTGTCAACTTGGCTGGGCCATGATTTTCAGTGGTTTAGCAGTTATGTAAGGAAGTAGTTGGGCAGTTATGTGATGACATGGTCATCCTCCCTTTTCACATAATACTGATCTTTGGCTAATGACTTTGGTCTTTGGAAGCTAACCGTGTTGATAAGTGAGGAGTGGGTGTATTGATTCGGGTCTTGAAATAGTGTTGGGATTACGAATCAAGGGTTCTAGAATTGGGGTACTTGGGCTTGAATTATGACTTTATTACTTCCTTACTAGGTTAAGCAAGTGACTTTTGAGCTCTCTAAGCTTCTATTTCTTCATCGATACAAGAGTAGAATGAGGATGATAATATCTACCTCAGGTTAAATGTTATTTTATAAAATGGATTTTTATCTTATTTTTCTCTACCTCACTGAACGTGCTTTATATAAAGATGCAGGTATTAAGTTGTTGCTTGACTTTAATTGTGGTAGAGGGGGGAGTCTTTTCAGATAAAGTGATACTGTTAACTCCTATAAGAAATGAAAACTGGAAATCGTGCTATATTGTTCTTCCTTGAGTCCAGTTTATTGTTGCAGTTACAGAACTCTGGGATGTGAAAGAACTGTCTTCTCTTTTAGATTGGTTTTTTATACTCAGATGTCTTACATTTTTCCATGTGTAAATTTGTAAATCCTTAAGCCTATCTTCAAGTCTTTTTTTATTCACATAGCAATCTTAATAGATAGCGAATGCTATTGGATGACAGTGCAAATAAGAGATCTTGTACAAATCTGGGGAGAACAGAATTCTCACAATTTCTTTTTTAAAACTGTTTTTCAGGGGCTGGAGAACATTGACTAAGGAAGCATTTTTCTGATTGGTGAAAACACAACTCAGTTATGCTCACCTATCCCTGCTATGGAAGCTTATGCCATATGTTATGTAATGTGTTATATAGTACTTAATAAAAATAAAATAACAAAGAAAAATCAAAGGTTTTCTTAATTTTTTCTTAATAGTACTACATAAAATGAAACAATCGACTCAATGTAGCTTTTACCACTTTAAAAAATTAGAAGGCAATGGAGGCTTGTAAAATTTCAAACGAAATGAAAACCAAGCACCTGTTACTGTATATAGCGCCTACAACTTCAAAAATGGTAGTTGCTACTATTGTTACAGATATTAGTATGTTGACAAAACATTGTGTCTTCAGCCATCACTAGAAGACTACAGGAAAAGTGTTTTTGGTTTGGTTTTGGAGTTCCTTTTCTGAGTGAATTAATTTAGTCTCCAAATTTTTAGTTAGAAGACTTTTTAAGCTGAGATTGCACCTTCAACTTTCATGCATTCTGTATGGTATCTAGCACACAGTCTACGCTTAAACACTGATCTTCGCCTTACTAGAGAGCAGACACAGGGGAGAGGAGGCGATCATCCATGGAGTTGATGTCCTTGGAGGAATTTCAGTATGGTAAGGGGTTATACAGTGGCACATAATGCAACTGTGGGTCTCTCCCCATCCAGAGTAAAGATGCAGGAAACAATTAGTCCAAAGGACTAATGGACCACATGAACCCCAGCCTTAATAACCCGAGACCAGAAGAACTGTATGGTCCTGGGCTACCATTGCTGACTACTCTGAAAGGGATCACAATTGGAGGTGCCAGATAGAGTGGGAGAGAAATGGGAAATAAAAAACAGACCAGGCTTACAGGTCTGATAAGAGACTGATGAAACTCCCAAGACTATGGCCCCTAGTCACCCTTCAAACCTTGGCCTCATCTCATCCCTGTGGCTCAACTTTCAGCCAAATGATAGGCCTATAAGGTGAAGAATAATACCAGGGAGGTACACACTCAGAAAAATCAACCATATGGGATTAAAAAGCCTACATTTGCCCAGG